CCCAAACAGACAGGGGAACTCGGCGAGTCCAGTAAGGGACTCGACAAGTTGAAGTCGGGTTGTCCTTATGGTATGCCAGGTAGAACTCAACGAGTATGTGAAGGGACTCGACGAGTTCACTCAGTTGACCACGAATCTGAGTAGTACAGGAACTCACTGAATTGGGAGATAACTCGACGAGTTGGGTTGACTGGGAGTTGACCTTGACTTTGACTTTGACCAGGACGTTGACTTTTACCAGGGGTAAAATGGTCATTTTACCCTAAGAAGAGTTAGCAAATTTTTAATTAAGTGTTATTTTGAAATTTATAGTCGGGGAGTCGTTAGAGCGGCCGTTAGAGATTCCTCACATGAGATTTCACAGCTAGCATTCAAGGTGAGTTTCCTCCAGTAGGAACGAGTCTAAGGCACCAAGGCCGGCCCGTTTATTTAGTAGTAGTTTCGGACTACGGTCCGATGCCGGGCGGGGCCGGATGTAGGATTATATGTTTTTCCGGATTTTGATCCGGTGTCGGGGCGGTCCCGACTAATGTTTGTATGCTTGATGTGTTTGTGATTTTTGCATGTGTTTCTATCGTATGTTTCCGGACTTCGGTTCGATGTCGGGGCGGTCCCGATGAATGTTAGTAGGATGCCGGATTACAGTCCGATGTCGGGCGGGACCCGAGGAAATGTCTAAATGTTATGCTATATGCTCATGATTATGTGTATTAACTGATTATGCTCACATGTATTCCGAGATCTGCTCGATGTCGGGTCGGGCCCGATGCCGAATAGGGTTCGATACCGGGCGGGGCCCGATGTCGGGCGAGGCTCGATGCCGGGAAAGCCGATGCCATGCTTGACTCGACGTAGTAGGGGCGGGGCCCAAGATATGTTTATGTGATATGTGTATGGTATGTGGTAATTGGGCAGACTCACTAAGCTTCGTGCTTACAATTTTCAGTTTTGGTTTTAGGTACTTCCGGTAGCAAGGGGAAGAGCTCGGGATGACTGCAGTGCACACACCATTATGTTTATAGCCTGAGATATTTACTCTGATATTTGATACATGATTTTGACACATTGACATATATTATGTTATTTTTGAGACATATGGTTTATGGTTTTATATGATGATTGAGATTCATGGTTTTATTTATGATTTTAAAACAAAATTTTTGGTCTGTATTTTTGGGACGTTTCACTTTTAAGGCAGAAGGAAGAAATAAATTTATACTACATAGGTTTTATCTACTTCATTATGTCACACATGGACATACCCTTTATTACTACCACTTACAGACATCGTTAGAGTAAACCAGTGCATAACTGAATTATAGAGCAAAACCCCATATGTATCTCGGTTTGAAGAATAATAAATATTATCATCTCATAATTACTCATGACTATATCCATGAAGTAATCTCTAAGTATGGGTCTTTCCAATTATTAAATCTTTATTAAGTATTCATGAGTGTTACCGCAATCTCTATGATATCTCAAATCACTATGGACAATCTACTAATACTCATGCCAGTCTTAAATCACTTATTACTTCTAAGAGTATGAACAATTGTGAAGCTTTGAGTAAATTAATACTTGGGAAATGGGTTCCAAACATGCAAAAAGAGAACATAGTGATAAGCTAATTGAAATGACTGATCACCATCATAATTCAAAGATCTCTACTTAATAATCTCCAAATCAAATTAAGACTTATACTGCTTAAGCTCTCAAATTTTTAAAAAACTAAACTAAAAGTGTTCAAGCCAATTCATTTGCAAATCTAATGCCTCTTGAATTTGTCTGATTGTCAGACTAGGTTAGTTACATTAACTTAGGGAATGGATCGGCAAGATTATTGTCCGATATGATGTCCTTACATTTGACCATCCATCAAATGTCATAGTACTTACTGAGTATGTGTCATTAAGCTTGTGTGACTTAGGATCCATAATCAAGGTAAATTCACCCTCAAAGAAAACTTCAAAAGGACCATTAATGATTGAATTTCAACACTAATGTTTATTGTTAGATCCACTATGGTGAATTACTTGGTACTCTTCCAAGCTAATAATTTTTCATTTAGTAAAAGACCAATTTCGACTAAGAACATAATCGTCTATATTAGCATGGAACTTAACATCAATGTAACTTTTACATTGATATCTTCCATACTAATAAGATTATCTCCTTTTTCCTCCTAGGAGACTAAGGAATGTTCTTCATTTCAATTCGTTTATTCTTTCCAAATTGATCTGGTCTTGATTTGGCATGCTCAAGGCATACAAGTCTTCAGATATAGTACATGTCATGACATATATAATTGATCCTATAGTAGAAGCATGTGGGATATGACTCATTTCATCTAGCTCAATATTAGAACTAGGATATTAGCATTGATCAATGTCATGTTATATTTTATTAAGCGTGAAACGTTTTGGAGCTCTACATGTCGAGTTTCGTCAATATTCCATGTATTTTGTCTTAATCCAATGATCACTTAGATCTATCTCCACAGGTCCTTATATTATATGTGTGTTGTATCTCCCATGTGTATCATATCGAAAGAATTCCCTTACCAAGCCAAGATTTTACATTTACTATGTTAGAACATAGTTTCCTATGAATTCGTACATAATCCATGTACATTACAAAGGTGACAACAATGCTCCTATTAGCATTGACATGTATTTATGGCTTGTCCTTGTTTCTCAAAATTCAAAATCTTGAATTTTGTCATTGAAACAAGGATTCTAATTGCTCTTACTAGCTTTGACATATATGGCTCATCTTCATTTCTTAAAATTCAAACTCTTTGAACTTTCTAATTGAAATAAAGATTCCAATTGCTCCTACTAGCTTTGACATATATATGGCTCATCTCCATCTCTCGAGATTCAAACTCTTTGAACTTTCTCATTAAAAATAAAGATTCTAATTGCGAGATGCTCGTTTCAGTCCCTAAATGAACTTATCAAGCTTAGAAATCCTTTACAACATATCTTGGTTTGATTATGTGTTTTTTCATATCCATGCTTATCTCTTTTTTAAGATCCACTACACATAACGGTTAAGGTCAAGTGTTTAATCAACTAAGTTTCAACATACATGGACAAAATCTCGCTCTCCATGCCCTCTTTTTATTTTGCAGCATTTAGGGTCTACCATAGCTTCCAATAGGTAGTATACTTCGATTGTTCATATTCATCAGTAATATAGATTCTACATAACTAGGTGTACTGTTATGAGCACATTATAAATTTGATCGTAGCACTATACCGTCTATAGATGAGGTTAAGGATTGCATGTGGAGAGTTCCACATTTGAGTGTTTTTGGAAGTCGCATGTATGTTATGATATGTATTACATTTGATCTAACCGATGAACTTAATGTGGTGGAGAAGACTCATTGGGAGACATTCAAATGGATTATTAGTTGCTTGAAGAGAACATCTAATATCCATCCAGTTTATGATGCTAGAAATATTGATGCTAGAAGTATTGTGACACTTAAGTGTGTTAAGTATCGCAAATAATTGAGTCTATCATGAGAAAGATTAAGCATACTGATGTGAGGTTGAATTTCATTGGTGATGTTCTTGAAGAAGACATGTTCTATATTGAGAAGATAACTACTTAAGAGAACCCACCATATATGTCAGGGCCGGTCCTGAGGATTCAAATGCCCAGGACGAACCGAAAAAAAATGCCCTTAGGCCCTAACTTGTAAAGAAATATCAATGTATTGTTTACAACAATATCATATTTCTTTTTTGAGTTTTCTCTAGGAAAAGAATATAATTGTTGTATTGTAGATGATAAATTTTTTAAAAGATCCATTTTTGACAAATAAATTGTGCAAGGAATGACGATAAAGTTATAATTACGCACGCATTTTTCAATTTGTCTAACTTAGGTTACTTTTTTTCCTATATGTCTAGAATTAGTGCATGGTCGAAAATTCAACAATATACAATCATTCTAACCCCTAAACCCTAAAAGGATATATGCTAAAAATCAACACAGTATATTTGCAGATGTATAGAAATCACAAATGTAGAAGATATATAGCAGCGCATCCAAAATACAGAGGATTTTTCCCAATTTTAAGCAAGATTATGTGAATATGTTTCTGATTTTCGCAATAATTTTAAAATTGTAAATCCAAACAACGCTTAAACTTTAACAAAACCCTACAAAGAAAACAAACCTAATCGGCTCAATGTGGTAGCTAGCTTTGCTCTTTCCTAAATCCTCTGAAGAACCAATAAAACCCAAAGCAACTGTTAGGGAAATGATCAAGTGATTTTCCGTATGATCGAGTGATTTTCTGTAATCGACCCTCGCTTCAGTTGCTTGAATGTGGTTGCTTCTGACTTCTTGAATATAACATTAAAAAAAAAATTAGGCCTCTTAAAATAAATGGGCCCTGTGCACATGCCCATGTTGCACATGCTCATAACCGGGCGTGATATATGTTAACAAAGACGCTACCAATGTAAAAATTCATATATTGCTTGGAATTGGTGAATGTTAGTAGAAGTTAAGTTTGTTGGACCCCAACTAGTAGGAAGGAGATGACTCACTCTTGGGAATCTTTGATGGTCAAAGACAATTGAAGTCAAAATGGAAAATTGTTAGATTGTGATTTGATGATAAGAATAGATAACCCGGCTTGAATGAAATGAAGAAACTCAAATACCGATTTCGAAAGAATAAATATTAGAAGTATGCTATAGCAGATACTTGCTAGATTTTTCAAACACTTTAATTGTAATCGAAAAGTTCTGCAGGTCGTGTTGCGCAGAAGAGCTTAACGATAAAACCAACATATTGCATTAAGTAAGAAACGAAATAAAAGAAACGAATATTGGAACGACCACCTAAAATACATATCTCAAGTCTCAACATATAGTAGATGCAAAAAATTTAGTTAGACTAAAAGTTTTGATAATGATTTACTTTTTTTTTTTTTTTTTGATAATGATTTACTAAATTATAAATATTCATTAGTTTTATAAAATGCTTTCCAAAAATACTTTTAGATTTATCTGTGACGAACCACCATCTTCGACGGATTCCATGGCAACCTTTTTCCATTTCTCAACACTCTTCTTTATTTCTTCCGCCCTCTCGCCGCCTCCCATCACCGCTTCCAAACACCTCTTCATCTCTTCTCTCTTCACCACCATTTTCTCATCCACCACCGCTCTAACGCCGTTCCCCCACACTTCCTCCACCATCTTTGCATTCGTCGGCTGATCGGAAAACTGTGGACACGCCACAACTGCCACTCCGGCCACTATACTCTCCAATGTCGAGTTCCACCCACAATGCGTCACAAAACACCCAACAGCACCGTGTCTCAAGACCTCCATTTGTGAACACCATCCCACTACCAGCCCATCGTCTCCTACTTTCTCCTTCAATTCCTTTATCTCTTCGTCTTCATCTTCACAGTTGTCACGTAAAACCAACAAAAATGGCCGATTCGATTCCATCAATCCATGTAGATCTCTTCCTTTTGAGCTTTGCTTAGCACAGCCTTGCTCCCAAATGACACGTATATCACCGAGTTTTCTGGTTTTGAATCTAGCCATCGGAAATATGAGCCGACATTGTCAGAGAAAGAAGAAGGAACCAATGGGCCGAGGATAACGGCGTTCTTGATGGATTTTATGGAATCAGGCTCCAGGTCATCCATAGTGTTCACCAGCACACGTAAATTAGGTTCTTCCTCAAGAAATTTAAGGTGTTCTTGACAAAGAGAAATCATTTCGGAAAAAGTCGGGTCAGTTGGCAATAGATACGTTGGAAAATCACTACATTTCAACAAGGGCATTCCTGGTAATTGTAGAGAAATGGATGTTTCTATATCTTTGTTTACAACAGCAATACCATCACGACTGTTGCAGAAATGGTTATAAATCGAAAAGTATGTGACGGTTTGGATGACGAGGATCGCAGAAGGCACGTTTAGCTCACGCGCCACCACCGCTGCCCAAGGTATGAAAAGGGTGTAAACTAGCAATGTGACCTGGTTGCCGCTTTCTGACAAAGATTGAATAACACATGCAAGGCTCTCGGAGCCCACGCGCTCTAGGTCTTGAAAGTAGCCGGGGATCTTGTCTGGGTTGATGTCATCATCATGGCCGTCGGAGAAGGAAACACAAGAGATGTCATGGAAGAAAGGCAGAGATTTGAGCTTGTTGTTGAAGCCGCTGACGGTGGTGGCAATGGTGACACGTGCACCGGCGCGTCGCAGGTTCTTGGCGAGCTCAATGGTTGGGTTGAGATGGCCGTAGGCGTGTTGAGAAACGAGAAGGACATGTGGGTGATTCATGGTGGTTCTGTTTACCAGTAAGTAGTTAGTCTTTAGTTTATGTAATTATATTTAGAGGATCACCATTGAAACTCGTTCGCTTGTTTCGATATGACACATAGGGCTTGCCGTTTCAATCCGTGGAACCTTTAAAAAAGATTAAATTTATATTATTTGAACTAGATTATATACGAGTACAGTTGATTACAAAAATTAAATAGGAAAAAATAAATATCAAAGATTTTAAAAACTAAAAGGGTGTTTTAACTTTAAACTTTGTGGATATGGTTGACGATGGGATAGAAAAATTAGATACTTGAGTGTTAGGGCATTGGGTGTGAGCAACAAGGTGCAACACCAAGTTGTGCCACCTCACATGCCACATAAGCAATTGGTGTTAACGCCAAGTGGGGAAATATGCAACAAGATGCAACACCAACTTTTTGAAAATAAATATGTTTTATAATAAGGATAAAAGGACAATTTTTTTATTATTATTTAATTTTGACCATTTTCAAACGGCCGAGTGAAAAAAACGTTCGAATTTATGCGTTGCATTCCGTCTTAACGCCCACAAGATTCGCCATAACGAGCTTCAACGAGTTGGGGGGCGGTGTTCCCCGCGTCGTGACGCCGTTTTCGCGTGCCAACTCACCCGATTCGTTTCTCGTTGTGACCTACACCGTATACTCTTAGTTTATATTATATGTGTATAACCTAAGTCTTAAAAGAAATGACAGCGGCTCATGTTGTATGGACCAAAGAGTATTGCGTTTTGTATTAATATGTGTGATGTGTTATTTGAAAAGCAATGAACTACCATTTAATAATATGGTATTTGAAAAGCAATGAAATACCGTTTAATAATATGGTATTAGATCTTGACTCTTAAAACCTCTACTAACTATCCTCCACTCAACCTCTCTCACGATCGTTAAGATCATCAGAAAAAATGAACAAAGAAGATGAATTGATTTGAAATATTTCTTCTCATTACTTCATTACAGTCTATTGACTATATATATATATATATATATATATATATATATATATATATATATATATATATATATATATATATATATATATTTGAAATATTTCTTCTCATTACTTCATTACAGTCTATGACTATATATATATATATATATATATATATATATATATATATATATATATATATATATATATATATATATATATATGAATAACATTACATAAAAGAGTATCTAACTACCACTAACTAACAAAAACAAAATTCTAACTTGAAAAGACAATACTACCCTTGGTAGTTAGAAACGGTTATAACAACTATATTAGCTAGGATGACACTCTAGCTAACAGCCCCCGCAAGCTTGGATCCATAAGAAAAAAAATCCAAGCTTGGATGTTGCATCTATATGTTTAGAACTAGAGAGAGTTTTTGTGAGAACATCTGCCCTTTGTTCATCAATTGAAACATGAGACAAACGAATTAATCCTGATTGTACTCTCTCACGAACAAAATGACAATCTACTTCGATGTGTTTAGTTCGCTCATGGAAAACGGGATTTGTTGCAATGTATATAGCATCTATATTATAACACTTCAAAGGAACATGAGTGATATTGGTAACCTCAAATTCTACATAAAGACGACTGATCCATGGAAGCTCTGATGTGACACTTCTCATAGAGCGATACTCTACTTCTATAGAAGACAAAGAAATAGTGACTTGCTTTTTAGACTTCCAAGAGATAGGTGATCCACCAAACATCATTAAGAACCCACTGATTGATCGTCTAGTAACTAAACACACAACCCAATCGGAATCATAATAGGCCTCTAATTGATAAGATGAATTATTATTAAAGAGAATAGCTTGATCAATTATTCCTTTGAGATACTTGAGAACATGAACAGCAGCTTGATAATGAGCTTGACAAGGTGTTTTTTTAAATTGACTCAAATGCTAAATGGTGAAAGCAAGATCAGGTCGTGTGTGTAACAAAAAAATTAATAAGTTGTCAATAGATAGTAGCATCAGAAATGAGATCATCCATGACTTGTAACAACTTGAGATTGGATGGTAGGGGAGTTGTTGATGAAGATGAATCCAACATTTCATAAGAAGCTAACAACTCTTTAATAATTTTGGTTTGATGAACTACCATTCCTTTGTCAGTTGATTCAAATTCAATTCCCAAAACATAATGAAGGAATCCTAAATCCTTGATTTTGAACTGTTCATCAAGAAAAGTTTTTAACTTTGTAATTTCTTCAAGATTATTCCCTGTACTAATATGTCATCGACATATATAGCAATAATAACAATTATAGAACCAAACTTCTTGAGAAATAGAGAGTAATCATTATGAGAATGTGAATATCCTTGAATTCGTAAGGCATAAGTGAACTTGGCATACCATTACCGACTAGCTTGCTTCAAACCGTATAGAGACTTCTTTAATCGACAAACAAGAGATGATGATGAAGTTTCATATCAAGGTGGAATCTTCATGTAAACTTCTTCATGTAATTCTCCATGCAAAAAGGCGTTATTCTAGCCAAAGTGATGTATATTCCACTAATTTTTCACTGCCAATGCTACAAGACTACGTACAGTTGTTAACTTGACTACCGGTGAAAACGTCTCATGGTAGTCAATGCCTTCCTTCTGAGTGAAACCTTTGACAAATAAATGTTCCTTTTGAAGTTCAATTGATCCATCATAACAGTATTTCACTTTGTAAACCCACCTACATGCAATTGGTCGTTTTCCTTTTGGTAGGTTAACAATATCCCATGCACTATTAGCTTGTAAGGCATCCAATTTAAGCTTCATAGCATCTTCCCATTTAAGAATCCCCATGGCTTGATGATAAAAGGCAGGTTCAATAGGATGATTGGAAACATGAAAAGCATATGAAGGATTAGAAGAAGTAGGACAAAAGGGTGTTTTGGGAATTCTGGGATTAATGTAATGATTTGTAACAGTATGGTTACAAAAAGCATCAAAAGTAACATTGTTACAGATATAGTCTTGCAAGTATGTAGGAGGAACAAGATTTAGAATTGGTCTCCTTAAGGTTTGTGTGTTGGTATTTGTTGAAGCATTAGTGAAAGGATGCGGAGTCTTGGAAGATGTAGAACTATCTGAAGCATTAAAAGGCATGTAGGAAGGTGGATTGGAATGCAAAGAAGGATTCTTTTGATCATGAAGGGGAAAAACATCTTCAAAAAATTTCATTTCTCATGAAATAGAAAAGGTTTTGGTCATAAAATTGTAAACTTGATATGTTCTTTGACTAAAATGGGTATCCTAAAAAGTTACATGGTTGAGCGTTACTCATGAATTTATCATGACCATTAGCGACAGTGGAAATGAAGCATAAACATCCAAATGCTTTAAGAGTATCCCATAAAGGTGTGGTTTTGTACAAGACTTCAAACGGAGTCTTATTATGCAAGACATGAGATTGTGTACGATTGATCAAATAAGTTGCAGTTTTTACACACTATCCTAAAAAAAGAATGACCAACACATGTTTGGTTGTACAATGCTCTTGCAACATTCAAGATGTGTCTACGTTTTCTCTCAACTAATCTGTTTTGTTGAAGAGTATAAGGAGTAGAAATTTGATGTAAAATTGTTTGATCTTGAAAATATTGTTTGCCAACATTACTTGATCCAAGTTCCATGGAACTATCAATACATACACGCTTAACAACCACATGAAATTGAGTTTCAACCATTTCAATAAATGCTTGAAGAAGTTAGAAAACATAACTTTTGTGATTTAGTAAATGAACCCATGTATGTCGTGTATGATCATCCACAATGGTTAAAAATATTTGAAACCATCATGTGTTAAGTGTTTATAAGGCCCCCATACATCCACATGAATTAAATCAAATGGAGATTTTGTTGTAGAAATAATATGTGGAAATAGTAATCGAAATTGCTTAGATTGAGCACAAATCAAACAGTGTTCAACAGAATTATCATCAGAATGTGAAGGAAAAGACATGAATGATGTAACGTCCCAAAAATGCCAATAAGATTTTCATTTTAAAATCATTAAATCCATACAATCATTTGTTCCAAAATGTCACACCCCCAAACCGTAATGGCGGAATCGTTCGGGGGTGGAGGACGTCATGTATAGTATCATAACAATTACATCATAGTAATCAAAGTAAACACAATCATTACATTCAATAAGTAAAATATTTACATTTGTTTGATTTATATTTATATACAATAAAAGTATAACAAAATGTAAAAGACGTGACTCTATACGCTCCGTCTTCTCAAAAGCTGTGGGGGTACCTGTCTACTGGTTTCCTGAGAATACAAGCAATTTTGAAAGAGTATCAGCATAAAGCTGGTGAGTTCATAAGCATGTTTGTGTAAGGAAAAATTCTTAATGCATCATTGAAAATATTTGTAAGTGTCCAAGAAAATTCAATATTTTCTAATATGAGTGTGTTTGTTACTGTATCTCATAATGTATTAGTTCATAAACATAGTTACCACTAGATGTGTTGTATTTTATTGTTTTGTATGGAAAATCCCCTTTTTCATGAAAACCCTGGCTATCACCAGTATGTATAGTAAGTTTGGAGAAACTTTGGAAAACTCTAGTATGTATAGTAGTTCTATTATTTATAATAAAACTAATTGAAGTTATTACCATTCATATATTAATCGTATATTCTTAGTACCAAATTTATGAGTTGTTATAACCATACTTGACCATTGAATTGATTGAATGACGTTCTTCAGGTGTCGGAATCGAAATGACTTTGTCACCCAGGCCTGCCGGCCTAACTATAGCTAACAGTTATGGTGCGGGATTGTCAATCCCATATAGATCTATACACAAAGTCACGTTCTCCCGCAAGGAGACTCTGGTTATAATCTCAGGACTTTTGTTAGTACTTAAGTAAGTACATGAAGAATGCTCACTCATAAAATGCTATACTAACGATTAGATGTAGAATAAAATGAATCCATTGAATTTGGTTACTGTCTATATGT